TCCATATCTTGCTAAGTCTAGCATGTAAGCTGCGGGGCTTTCGGCCCTGATATTCTGTCATAAACTAGAATATACCATAGTATACTACAGTATATTATAGATATAGTACACTATGGTATACTATAGTATACTACAATTTCAAACACAGACATGGACTATACGGGGATACTCACATGGGAACCCTGAGGCCCAGGGGCCTGGCCTCACTCGAGATGCGAGGACAACTCCTCGTCTGCGTTTTGGCGACCTCCGCATCTCAGGAAGTCAGAGGTTTCTCGCGATTTAGGGTGTAGTAGGGTTTAGGGTTTAGTAGGGTTTAGGGTTTAGTAGGGTATAGGTTTCAGGGTTTAGGGTTGGTTTCTCGCGATTTAGGGTGTAGTAGGGTTTAGGGTTTAGTAGGGTTTAGTGGGGTTTAGAGTTTAGTAGGGTTTAGGGTACAGGGTTTAGCGAACCCTCAAGAGAATCCCTACACCGTAAATCTCAAAACCTTAGGCCCTAGCCCCTCTATCCGCTCAACCGCGTCGTAGTGTCATATTTAAAGAGTCATGAGACTTAGTAACTAGGGTTATAATTAGGGTAACTATACTTATAACCCCAACTAAGGAACTTATAACCTTACTTACTAAGTCCCATGACCCTCCAAGTAGTTGGCATCCCCTAAACCTTGCACCCTAAATTAACGAGCGACGCCCCAAACCTTAAACTCTACAGTGCAAACCCCTGATTGATAAACCCCCTCCCTTTACAAGGACAGTCTCAGGGATCCGAGGCATTTAAGGAGAAAGGGTTATTAGTCAGCATTCCAAAATTGCACAAAACCCTGAAACCTAAGCCCGAAAACTTGAACTTGAAACCCTACCCTCGAAACCTTAAACCCTACACCCTAAACTGAACCCTAAACCTTAAAGGCTACACCCTGAACTGAACCCCAAACCTCTACACCCTACACCCTGAGCTGAACCCTAAACCTTGAACCCCACACCCTGAACTGAACCCCACACCCCGACACCCTACACCTAAACCATAAACTCTACACCCTAAACAGAAACCTGAACCCTAAATCCTACACCCTGAACCTTAACCACCAAAAACCCAGGAGGACGAAGGTCTTCCAAGCTTGTGCAGCGATGGGGGCCTTAACAATTCGCTTAGGGTTTTGGGGTCTACTCTAAAGGGTTCTATAGGGGATCTATAATTGGTATCTGTAAGATAGGGGCCTTAATCATTGGAATCAGATTTTGTAGGGGTGCTTGAAAGGATTCTATAACGTTTACAAAAACGGTTACCAGAAGGGTTTAGTACAGGGGCCTGAAAGAGTTTGACTAGGGTTTTGGGATACACTATAATATGGTTATAACAAGGAGCCCTCAGGAATAATCTAAGTAATTCTGAAATATAGGGGGCTTAATGGGCCCCTGTATAAGGCTTCTACAGTACGTGGTCGAGAATAGACCTCGCCAGCCGCAGCTGTCCATTGATTTCGATTTGTTAAACCATTGGGTACTATTCAAGTCCTTGTAGGGTTCCATTCGGGCTCCTTGAAGGGATCTATAAGGGTTTCTAGAGGGCTCCTAGAAGGGTACTTTATGGGTTAGTTCATTCAATTTGAGTCGGTCCCCCAAATAGTACGGCACCCTCATCAAAAGGACCCCTAGAACGGACCCGAACTTCGAGAAATTGCACAAGCGATTCCGGCATGGTCATGGATATTGCAAGCGTCTCAGCTCTGCTGAGGGTGGCGCCGAGGTCAAAGGCCAGGCTTTTATTGCTCCTTGTCGGCTGGCAGCAGGAGGGGTCTGATGCGGTCACGTCAAGAGTCTTGTAGGCATTTCATGAACCCTAAACCCTAAGCCCCAAAATCGTTAAACCCAAAACCCCAAAATCATAAATCCGCAAAGCCCTGAACCCTATACCCTAATTTCCCAAAACCATAAACACTAAACCCTAACCCGTGACGGGTTCCAAAGGGGGGGGGTCTCGCCCGGCCCTGGGATCTTCTCAGACTCCGATTCATGGGATCAGTAGTTTCAGTATTTCTATCACTTTCATTATGGCCACTGCTATTCCTGAATGTAGCTGCATATGACAGTTATATATATATATATATGTAATCAATACTGCAATATTATAGTTCTATTTCCAAACTTCGTATCGTTATTCTATTATTGTCACTGCCAGTAGTATGGGTAGCATCCCCGGGCCTAGCCCCTCCGTGCTTTCTAGACCTGGCTTGGGATCGGGGCCGGATGAAATGGAGGCCTTAAAATCGCTAGAAGAGGTCTGTAATTAGGTTTAGGGTGTAGGGTCTATAACGGTGTAATTTGGGTCTTAACCAGTATAAGAGGTCTATCAGTAGGGTTTAGGGTTTGGCTTAGGGTCTACAGGGGTGTAATTTGGGTACTGCCCCTACCTTGTTACAGTCCATATGCGGGGTCTTATGAAGGGCTATGTATTGCTACATTATGAATATTATCTGACTGTTACACAGTGGGGGGAGTATCCAATCTCTAACAATGTAATCAAAGGAAGGAAGTCTATAGAATACTATTACTGCTTCTTTAGGCTTCTATGTCGGAGGTCATGCAAGCGAGGTTGCTTAATTTAAAAAATCATCCACCACCCGGAACCCTAAACCCAACCAGCAATTGGAAACAAAGGGGCAGCGGAATCGAAGAATCATCTCATCTCAAGCTCCTCCTCCTCCTCGTCCTCCTCATCCTCCTCTTACCCCTTAATATACTATAGTGTACTATGTTCTGGTATACTATAGTATAGTATACTAAATTATAGCACCCCTTACCGTCTTTACCAAAGTCATTGACGAGGCCCAGGACATGTGGCTGTGGACGCGCAAATTTGATATGGGGGCCTTAATAATCAGAATAGGGTTTTGGGGCATGTTGTACTATAACTGCAGTAAGGAACCCCAGAATAGTGTAGGAATTTGGGAGTTTCCGAAAATGGGCGTACCTTATTTCGGGGTCCTTATAAGGAGGATCCTATTGTTTAGGGTACCATATAAGGGTCCCCTATTTTCGGAAACTCCCATTTATTGAGGCCCCTATATCAGCATCGCGGCACCCGCAAGCCGAACGCTGGACCAGGGCATTTAGGGTTTGGGACTTTGAGGGCTGAGGGTCTGCAGTGGGCTTTCGGCCATAGTATGCTGTGGTATGCCATAGTGCCATAGTATACTATAGTATACTGTATTATGGTATACGATAGCATAACCTGAGGCTTGTAGGGTGGTATACCATAGGATACTACAAGATTTGTAGGGTCTTGGAGTCCTGAACATCTCCACAGAACACCCAGTTTTGGGGTTTGGTCCTCTGCAACACCCGGCCGCTGGGAGACACATCGGCGCTGCTATTTCCCCTGGTGCGAGCAGGGGGCTGTAGCTGTAGGTCGACGAATTGATGCACAGGGTTGAGTGTTGATGTTTGGAACTTAAGCTTTCGTGCCCAGTGAAGCCCATGGCAAGGTTCTAAGTGTTGATATTTGGAACTTAAGCTTTCGTGTCCAGTGAAGCCCATAGTAAGGTTCTAAGCAACATGATGTCAGTTGTGAGTACTCATAGTCCAAGTTCAGGCACACGTAGCCTATCTTACAACTACTGACGGCCATCGGAGGAAGGTTTAGCATATCTGCAAGATAGACCACGGTCACCCAGGTGGAAATCTCGCGACCTTCACGGTGCAGCAGAGGCCCAAATTCCTTGAAGGTGTCACCTTACTCCTGCACCTCCAAAAGAATCAGCTGCAGGCATTGTGGTGCAAAATCCCGCCTCTGCACGGCTTACGTTTAGCATGAAGATCAACAGGAATGACCCTAAACCCTAAACTTAAATTACCTGCAGTCCATCTGCCAACCAGCTTCAGCTTGAGTACTCTTAACCACAAACCTCGAACTGTCATAAAGCCGAAAGCCGGGATTCCACGGAAGGATTCCTGTAAACCTTAAGTAAGGCCTTCTGAAAAGGCTTCTAAAAGAGCTTCTGTCAGGGTTCCCGTGGAGTTTCTCGACAAAGATTGCCATTAGGTCCCTTTCAGTGGCCCTTATGGGAATCTTTATCGGAGCCCTTACAGGAGGTAGGAAACCCCCCCCAACCCTAAATCCTTGAAGGAACCCTTAATGATCCGCGCCTGTCGCCTTGCGACTCCTCGTCATCGGACTGGGTTTCTGTCCTCTCAGATCACAATTGCGAGCTGAAGTCCGAGTTCAAGGGGCGATTGCAGCTGCAACTATGTGAGTCTTTCCTAATGTAAGAGTTCACATTCAAAGGGTGGTATCAGGATTTTATGTAGGGATACTGCAAACGCTGTACGCAGCAAGGAAGACTTCTTTTTGAGAGAGGCTACACTGGCTACACTTTTAGTGGACCACACCTGAGAGTTAAACCTAACAAGTCCACTTCATGTAGCACTGATGAGAGTTAACTGGCTAAAATAGGGGCCTTAATATTCAGAACAGGGCTGTGCTGCAGATTTTGTCATAGTTTTTTGTATTTTTTGGACCCCAAGGATTAGGAATGCTAGTTCTTCAGGCTCCTAGAGGACCCCACCGCACAAGGAGACTAAACCAGAGGGAAGCCCCCATGGGCCCGCAGCATACCTGAGACTCAGATCCCACATGGGTTTAGGGTTTAAGGATTTAGGGTTTAGGGATTTGGGGTTTAGGGATTTAGGGTTTAGGGATTTAGGGCTTAGGGTATAGGGTTTAGGGATGACTGTGAACCCTAAACCCTCAACCCCGTGCATGGAGGATCATGGGAATTAGTAAGGTTATAAGCACCTTAATTTGGGATTATAAATATAGTTACCCGAATCATAACCCTAGTTACTAAGTCGCATGATCCTTTCAGTAGACCCTATAAACCCACTCTTATACTAGAACCCTTTGTAGAACCCTTTAAAGGAGCCCTTTAAAGTATAACCCTAGTTACTAAGTCCCATGATCCTTAAAGTAGGGATGACCGTACTCCCCCGCCGCATTCCCGCCTGAACTGCAGCTTGTTTCGGAAGATGCCTTGAAGAGCCGAGGAGACCTCAAAGGTTTAGGGTTTAGGGTTTAGGGTACCCTAAACCCTAAACCCTAAAGAGCTGCTGATTCTATGGACTGATATGGGGGCTTCCGAAAATCAAGGCTGCTTTAAAGGGATCCTATAAGGGTTCCTTAAAGGGATCTATAAGGGTTCTATAAAGGGTTTAGGGTTTGGGAGTTATTAGGGGTACCTTATTTTGGGGTTCTTATATTAGGGATCCTACTATTTAGGGTACTATATTGGGGTCCCCCCAAGACTGATTCTACTTGAAGGACCATTGGACGTAGTAACTAGGGGCACTATACGGTTCTATAATAAAGGGCTCCTGAAACGCATCCTTATAAAGGGATCTATAAGGGTTCCATAATGGAGGATCATGGGACTTAGTAACTAGGGTTATACTTTAAAGGGCTCCGTTAAAGGGATCTATAGGGGGTTGTATTATCAGAGGGGGTTTATAGGGTCTACTGAAAGGATCATGGGACTTAGTAACTAGGGTTCCTTAAAGGGCTCCTTTAAAGGGGATCTATAGGGGCTCTATGACAAGAGGGAATTTTTAGGGTCTACTTAAAGGATCATAGGACTTAGTAACTAGGGTTATAATTAGAGTATCTATACGTATAGCCCAATTCAGGTACTTATAACCTTACTTACTAAGTCCCATGATCCTTTAAGTATGGACTGATAATGGCACAGCACTGGTAGATAGTAGTTATCTGCAACACACATTTTCGCAGTCGCAGTCATCAGTATTCGGCGGAGCTTGCCAAGCACAGCTCTGGTAGCAATACATACAGTTACTGAGAGGAGGCAATGCTGTTTCCAATAGTGATGCTGGCGACAATAACTGGGCTTTTTAGTGACCAGGGGCAAAATTCAGTAAACACTTTTATTTCGTAATGGTTCCTTTAAGAAAAAAGTAAACAAGTATGGTTGTGGTACTCCAAAGCTCAGATAATGCTAAATGCCGGACCTGTCCTCTCAGCCTTTCGACATCAGTCTCAGGCTCTTCTTGACAGAAGAGATCCTGCGTTGTAGGTGAATCGCGTCGCGAGCCGATCGGCGAAGTTACTGCGAAGCAGGAGCCCAGCAACAGAACCTTAGGGGCTGAGAACCCTCGTCCGTATGGAACTTTAACAGCAGCCTTCTAGAACCCTCATGGAACCTACCCTTCTAGAACCCTTGTGGAAGCCTGATGAAGCCCTCACAGAGCCCTTCCTAGCAACCCACATCGAAACCCTAAACCCTAAACCCTAAACCCCTGAACCCCTAAACCCCGAAGCCCTAAACCCCAAAACCCTAAACCCCCAGACCGTAAACCCCAAACCCCCAAACCCTCATAGAACCCGAAAGCGGCCTCGGTGTTGTCTTTGACGAGGCCTGGCAGTTTGGATTCCTAGGGACCCAGGCCTGAATTTAGGCTTCTATAAGGGAGGGTTTAGGATTTAGGAGTTTAGGGTTTAGGGTTGAGGGTTTAGGTTCCTATAAGCGCCTCTATAAAGAAAGGTTCCATGAGGGAGGTTTAGGGTTTAGGTGTCGTAAGGTGATATGAGGCTTTGTATGGATTCTTGGGTTCAGGGGTTAGGGGTTTCGAGGTTTGGGGTCTAGGATCTTTGTATGGGTCCTTCGGTTGTCGCAGGGTTTTAAGAAGCTGTATAGGGATCCTTTCAAAGGGTGGTTTCGGGGGTCGGGGTTTAGGGTTTTAGAGGTCTGGGCTGTAGTACAACTTCAGTACTGGAAATGCTTCGTTTGGGGTACTGGCTGGATTGTGTCTAGTCTAGCTAGGGCTTAGGGTCTATGGATTTAGAGGTGTAAGGGTCAGGGTTTGGTTTGGAGACATAGGGCTGGCACATGCCTTCAGACTTAGTACGAAGGCCCTTTAGTTCTTGACGCAAGAAGTTAAGGCCCAGCTCAGCTTCCGAGTTGGCAAACTCTAGACCCTAAGCTCTCAACTTTAAACACTAAACTTTGCACCCGAAACCCTAAACCTTAAACCCTAAACTTTGAACCCTAAAACCTAAACCTTAAACCCTCAACTTTGAACCCTAAAACCTAAACCTTAAACCCTCAACTTTGAACCCTAAAACCTAAACCTTAAACCCTAAACTTCGGACCCCAAACCCTGAGTTGCACTCGAAAAGTCACAAAGCTTGAAGCCCGACTCCATCAAACCCGGGCAGGAAGAACATGGGAGTTTCCCAGAATTAGGGGTATCTTATTTTGGGGTCCTTATAACTATATGTGACAACCAAACTCGAGACATGATTCGTAGAGAAACTCTACACCGTAAGCTGTAATCCCTAATGTAGGAACCTGATTAAGAAGCCTTGGGCCTTCATTAGGGTTTCTTATATGAGTCCTACTATTTTTGGGGATTACAGGCCCCAGGGTTTCTTAATCAGGTTCCTGCATTATTATATGTTATAGTATCCTTATAGATCCCTTATAGTAACCCTTATAGACCCCTCTTTAAAGGAACCCACAGGGTAATCAGGTCCCCCTAAACCCTAAAGCCCTGAACCCTAAACCCTAAGCCAGAAAGTTGGAATATGATTATCCTAGCCCTTCTATGGTAAATTATAAGGTATCCTACCATGAAACCATATTCCAACTTTCTGGAGTTCCCTGTAACCCAGAGCCTGCCATCTGCTTCTGGATCTTAAAGGAACCCTAATAAAGACCCAAGGTAATCAGGTAGGTCCCTAAACCCTAAAGCCCTGAACCCCTAAACCCATTATCTGCTCCCCTATAGATCCCTTATAGTAACCCTTATAGACCCCTTTAAAGGAACCCCATAACCCAGAGCCTGCCATCTGCTTCTGGATCTCTACCAGGTTGAAGCGAGCTCGGGAGCAGCCCCGGATGGCATTCTGAATGCGCTGGCGATGAACCTTCGAGCTCTTGCTTTCAGGACTTTGGGCTTCAGGTTTAGGCTTGAACGTTTATTATATTGCTTTAGGTCTAAGATGGGTCAAACTTATAAGGGTTATGAGCTAATTTTAGAGGTTTAGGGGTTCTAGGTCTGAGACCTGGATGTTTAGAGTGGGGGGGGTGCAGGCTGTCCGGGGTTCCTAGAACCGAAGGCTTCCATTCCAACCCAAGGGCGTTTGGAACGAGCGGCCGGAGGTGTAGGAGGGTTTAGGGTTTAGGGTTTAGGGGATTATACATGTACATATAATTCGGTATAGATTATAGATCCTTCTTCTGCAAAAGACTTTCTGAAGGGGCGGGTACAGTTCTCATAAAGCAAGCTCAGTACTTAGCATTGCTTGCCTCTTTTGCGCTCTGACATAGAACCCCAGCATGTCCACCTGCTGCCCAGTGTGATTTGCCCTGTCTATCTATTTACCTATCTTTCTATCTGTCCTTCCACCTATCTATTCACCAATCCATCCATCTATCTCAGAACAAAGACATACACAGACCCACACGTGCATGCATACGTACATCCAGCAGTAGTTGCCTTAGAGTTTCAATCTTCATATCCACATCTCAATCTCTCTTTCTGTATATAGCGAAAATGTAAGGTATGTCTAGATGCCGGTATGTTACCGCTCAGATGCACGCTTGTTTGCCTTCATTCGAGTGGTGAGTGGTGGAAGTAAAGTGTCAAACCATGGTTCTGGGCCTACAACCCCTACACATACACCTTCACAGAAACTCCAGAAACTCTTCTAGCATCCCTTCTAGAACCCTATAGAAGCCTGTATAGAAACCATGAAAACTTGCGTACAACTCTTTAAACAACAACTTCTTTGCGAGGAAGCCTGTAAAAACAGCCCTCTACCAAAGGCCATGGCTTCGACCAGATTGGACTTGCGGGGTCAGGGTAGCGGTTTAGTCGGGTATTATAGGGGTTTTCCAGGGCTTTAGGGTTCCTCTACTGCTTCGTTCGCCGGTTGTATAAGGTTACTACTACAAGGGTTTCTTTAAGGAATACTTCCCGAGGGTTGTAGGGGCTTTAGGGTTCAGGGTTTCAAACGATTAGGGTCTGTGGGATCGTGGGGTTGAGTGCTGAAGGTCGGGTTGAGGGTTGATGATTGTAGCTTTTGTGACATGCGGGATCCTGGGTGGAATCTAATTACACTGACAATCCCTTTCCTCCCAGTGCCTCCAGATTCCGGTGCTCTTGCTCCCTCATCCCGATGTGGGACTCGTACCTTGCCCATAATTTAACATGAAACAATACTGACCTGACGGCTTAACTTCTTGCTGCCCTTGCCAGTAATCGGCAAGATGTCAGCATGGGTGCTGTCGCATGCGGTCTCGGAGCGCCCACAATACTTTGAAAGGCTGTTGCAAAGGCTTGTCTCGGGCTTGCTCATCCCAATGCCGGGGGATATGTTGCAATTCAGAAACAACGTGCACGTGCAGAATTTCGTTCGATTTAAGGTTGGGGTTTTGCTGCTCTGTGATCTGAAACAGCGTATGCCGTAGTTGTACATATGCACGTGCAGATGTGCATGTGTTTCACATGCTCGACAAGAACGCCACTATGCAGAACCTCCGGTGTTGGTGATAATGCTGGTGCTTTCATGATGAACAGGAGGCACTGAACAAACAGCACTTCAACCAACACCTGATGAGGACGACGGTACCAAAGCAACGTAACAACGGTTTAGGGTTTAGGGAACAGTACGACAAAAAACAAACAGGCTCCAGGTGTACCGTCACCGAGATGCCTCTGCTTCGTCGTTAAATGATCCAATAAACTCTCAGGGTTTAGGGTCCAATATGGGAGGGCTTAGCGCTTTAGGGGTTTAGAGTTCAGGGGTTAGGGTTAGGGCTGGGGTTTGGGGTCAGAGTTTGGAAATCGAAGCTGTTCTGGTGGTTGGAGAAGCGAGACAGGCTCTACCTTTACCCAGGATTTCCTTCTACATGTGTGTCGAGGGAGCAGACTGAAGGGCCCTGAAACCCTGAACCCTAATCAAGTTCACATATTGACACCGGATTGCGGAGGAACTTCATTATATGAAGCACTTGGCAAGCGAAGCAGGCAGCTGCATCAGCGGCCGGCAGAGACAGCAGCGGCAGCAGCGGCAGCAGCGGCAGCAGCAGCAGCAGCAGCAGCAGCAGCAGCAGCAGCAGCAGCAACGACAACAGCACCGATTACACTACAAAAACCAGTTACAATAGAAACGATAGCATAAACATCAGGCGTATTCGCTGCCCACCCATCACACCACGACCGCCCAAGCCTCACCCCGCCCAAACGCAGTTCCCAGCCGTTCCCAGCAGCCGTGAAACCTAGGCCTCAAAACCTTTACATCAAGAAGCTTCGGCCTTCTATAGTAATAAGCTAGAGTATATTAGATTGTATTACAGTATATCATAGTGCATAATCGTATATTACTCTAAATAATTCGGGTCACCGGTACAGTAGCAAACATGTTGCACGAACGTCTTCTTCGGCCGAGCGTCGGCGACACCCCGAGGATGAGCTCGCGCTTTTGTTCCTGGGAATTTCACATTTTTCAGAGTATTGGACTTTGGGTTAACTAACGTGTGGTTTGGGCGTTCCGTTGGCTCTTTAGCTCCTTATTCAATAGGGATTATCATCATCCCTGGCTCCATAGCTCCTCCAATATCAATGGGTAGCTAAGGGTTAAGAGTAATGGCTGAATTTAAGGCAAGAGTTTGGAGGTTCAGGGTTTATAGTGTTCAAGGGGAAGGTAGCCACACACGGATGGTGGCATCGTGCTGGTATTTCAATTCTTTCCAGTCATACTCGCATATTCATCAAACCCATCAACATCGTTGCTCAACCCGAAGCCCGAAATGCCACGAAGGACCAGTAAATGGCAAAACCCAACTCTTCTACGCCTTCCTTGGAGTTTACGGCCTCTTCAAGTCTCCCACATCTAGATTCAGATTGCAAGTAACTTTAACGCCGTAGATACGGGAGTTTCCGAAAATTGGGGCGTACCTTATTTTTGGGGTCCTTATAACAAGGGTCCTACTGTTTAGGGTACTGTGTTAGGGTCCCCTATTTTCGGAAACCCCCATATCTTGCTTGTAACCATACTTGCTAAGCCACCTGATCCTGCGATTAAGCTGCTCGCTCGCCGAGCCCTGTTTCTGAAGCACCGGAATTTGGAGCGGAGCCGGTTCAGGCCGTTATATCACCCGTGCCCAGGAACAGTCCCCTAAACCCTCAGCCCGAAAACCCAGAACCCCAAACCCTAAAATCCTTAACCCCCAACACCAAAACCATAAACCCTATATAGGTCCCACTAAAGGACCCTTAGAGTACCTTTTAAAGGAACCCCTAACCCCCTAAACCAGAAACGATACGAACCTGAACAAGCTTGCTGCGCCGGGCGAGGGTAACGAGGCTTGCTGATCTTCATTGTTCTTCCGTGTCTTGGACTTGCCGAGTTTGGCAAGGAAAGTCGCCTGGGCGTGGAGGGCAGCTCTGACTGCCCATGTGCGAGTCTGGACTAAACCCTAAACCTTAAACCCTATACCCAAAACCCAAAACCCTATACCCAAAACCCTAAACGCACCACCGCTCTTCGGCGATCCTGAGCGACAATGCCCAGATGATCTGCTCGACAGTCTCCCGCTCGCGATCTAGGAGGGCCATGCTGCTTGCTGTGATGCTTAGGGTTTAGGCTGTGATGCTTAGGGTTTAGGGTTTAGTTCTATAATACAGGGGCCTAAATAAATAGAATAGGGTTATAGTTGCTTGCCCTGACGCTTGCTGCTTGCTGTGGGCAAAGCGGTCAACGACTTCCAGACCGCTGGGACGTTGGTGCCCGCGACGGACCTCTCCGATGAGTACGCGGAGCAAATGGTACTTAAAGGATCATGGGACTCAGTTACTAGGATTCTAATTAGGGTAACTCTACTTATAACCCCAATTAAGGTGCTTATAACCTTTGCTAAGTCTCATGATCCTCCATTATAGAACCCTTATAGATCCCCTTAAGGATCCCTTTCAGGACCCCTATAGTACCCTTAAAGGAACTACTAAGTCCCATGATCCTCCAAGTAGACCCTAAACCCTAAACCCCTATAGATCCCTTATAGAACCCTTTAAAAGGAGCCCCTTAAGGAACCCCTTAAAGGAACTACTAAGCCCCGTGATCCCCTTTAAGTAGGGGGCTTCCACGACCAGTCTTCGGGGCTTTGGGGAGCTCGGGTCGGTGGGTTCTGCGCTTCCCCCTTTGCTGGGGAGTTTCCCGAAATTCCAGGAGACCTGCTAATGTAGGAACCTGACCTTAAAGGGATCTGTAAGGGTTGCTATAAAAGGGGTCTATGAGGGTTACTATAAGGGATCTATAATGGGTATTATACTAATGTAGGAACCTGATTAAGAAATCTTGGGCCTTTATTATAAGGGCTTCTTATCTAAATCCTATTATTTTCGGGTTAAAGGCCCAGGGTTTCCTAATCAGGTTCCTACACTATGAAGGGGTTAAGGTTTAGTTTAGGGTTTAGAGGTTTAGGGTTCAGGGTTTACTAAACAGCATCGTATACTATGCTACAGTATATAATACTTTAAGTATATACTAGATAGTCTCTAGTCTACAGTTATAGTCTCCTGTACATGGTACATAGCATCTAGTAAAGATTCATGTCGGATTATCCTGTATTGCCTACTGCCGTATACTAGAAGGGTGATTTTAGCAACTTTGCTGGGGCCGGGTCCGCTTTTATCCCTTGCCGATCTTCACGAAACTGTTTCCTGCGCAAGAAAGGGCTTAGGGTTTAGGGGTTCACGGTTGACGGATTAGGGTTAACGTTTCATGGTTCCTGTTTTGGGGAGCCATGCGATTCGAGGTGTGTTTTAGAGGCTTCGAGAGAGAATTCGCGCCGCGAAGTCCAGTGTTTCTTCAATCATCTGAAAGCCTCAGCCTTGCAACTCTGGCTAAGACCCCATATAATCCCCCTTACAAAGAAGCCGGATATCCCGGAAAAATGCTCATGCTTATGTGCTTTTTGGGTCCCTAACTGGACTCTCTCCCCAAAACCTCAACGCGTTTAGCAGCCTTAGCACTCAACACAAACACACACACACATCCAAACAGAAACAAATGTGCGCCAAAACCCTAAAACCTCAGTGCCACACCCGTAACCCAAACCTTAAGCCCCAAACTCAAACCGCAGACCCTGAGCCCGAAACCAAACCCTCAATACCTTGAGCTCGAATCAACCTTGAACTGAACGTTGATCTTCTGGCAATTTTCCTTTCGCATTGTGGAGAAGACTATGGCTATGGATCTTTGGAACAAAATAACACGTCGCAGGTTGTAAGAATCTTGGGGCCAGGGGCCAAAGTTTTCGGGTCACAGTTCTGGGCCTTTTCCCCAGCCTCAACGATATTCCGTGCTGTATTTTCACTTAGTCGCGTCGTCGCGCCCAGGGAAATCGCGGGGCATGACTCCGGATTTCTCACGGCCGGAACACTTACCCATAAATCAAATAAAGCTTCGAACTCAGCTCAAGCCCTACACCCTACGTTTGGGGCTTTGGGTTTAAGGTTCAGAGTTTGAGGATCTAGGTTTCAAGATTTTAAGGGAAGTGTTCTTGCGGTCTGTCTGGGGGTTTAGGGTTGCCGTAAACCTCTGGATAAGCACGTGCAGATGTAGTAATTTAGTATCTTCAAACACCGGGATAAAGAAAAAAACTTTGCCAGGTTTCTGCAATGGTGAGGGAGCAAAGCTTCGGTCTCGGTTTAACGCTTCGCGAGATCCCCAACTTTGTGGGTCTGGCATGAATAAGAAGTGTACTCCTGCTACTACTGCTACTATTGCTATACACTACTACTGCTACTGCTGCTGCTGCTGCTACTACTACTACTACTACTACTACCACTACCACTACGACGACGACTACGACTACGACTACGACGACGACGACGACGACGACGACGACTACTACTACTACTACTACTACTACTACTACTACTACTATTCATCATATCATCATAACAACAATTAACACCATAAATGACAGAAATAACCGTAGCACGAATAGTAATGGTACAAATAGTAGAGATCTCGCGTAAGGGCTTCTAGAATGGGCTGTTGGGCATTCAGAGGTCCTCAAATCTCTTCGCCGCCGGACGGCCTGAGCATGACCCAAGGTTGTCAAAATTAGGGTTCGTCTTTGGGTCCCTAATATAGTACGGCACATATTATTTAGGGTACCCAATAAGGGACCCTAATCTTGACAAACATCCGGGTGGATGGTCTGGGGTGCTGTTGAACCCTCGATGCATTCCGAACCCAGAGCCGGCTGCAGAGGGTTATAAGGGTTATAAGGGTTTAGGGTTTAAAGGGTTCAGGGTTTTCAGGGTTCACAGGGGCATGTGGAGTTTCTTACAAGTTGCATACCATGCCTTCCGACCGCAGTAAAAGCCTGAAGACCCGAAGGTCCCCAACTCCGAATCCCGGCAGCCATTTAACCCTGAAAGCTCCGAAGCCAGGAACCCTTGGAAGGCCAACAGATGATAGACAATCCGGAAGTTTAAGCCCAATAATACGCTCTTGAACCATATAGAACCGTATGGAACTCTATAGAGCCCAAGAGCCCTGCAGAGCCCTATAGAACTCTATAAGCCCAAGAACCCTTCAGAGCCCTATAGAACTCTTTAGTTTCAAGAATCTCCTTTCCCGGATCCGCCTCCAGGTGTTCAGCCCAGGAGTCTGGTGGTAGGGGCCGCCTCATGGGCTGGGGGCTGTAGGGTTCCAATTGGGGTTCTCGGGCTCTAGGGTTCTATAAGAGGGTTGTGTGTTAAGTTAAGGGTTCTAGGGCTTTAAGGTTCTATACAGGTAAGAGTTCCGGGTTCTGGGTTTAGGGTCTAGGGTTCCAACTCGGGTTCTCGGGCTTTAGGGCTCAGGGTTCTAAGGGTTTAGGGTTCCGGCTAGGGTTCTAGGGCTTTAGGGTTCTAAAAGGGTAAGAGTTCTGGGTTCTGGGTTCAGGGTTAAGGGTTCGAACGAGGGTTACTCGTGCGTACATGCATGCACCACCGTATGCAAGATTTTTGAGCGTCTCCTTCGCCTCGATTTTGTATATCTCACGAGAGTTATCTCCGGCGGGATTCCCGAAGGGAACTCCCGAGACTACCATGTCCGGATTATCCACTCGGCTGCTTGCATGCACAAATTGCTCCAAGTGTTGAGCTCTGGTAGCAGACTTTCCAACTAGGGTTTTAGGGCTTCAGGGTTTAGGGTTCTAAGGGTTTAGGGTTAGTGGTTTTGGGGTTCTAGGGGTTAGGGTTCTCGGGCTTTAGGGTTCCAAAAGAGGGCTGTGGGTTCAGGGTTAAGGGTTCGAATAAGGGTTACCAGTCAGTAAGGCTTCTGGGTTTAGGGTTCAGGGTTGGGCATTTAGGGTTGGGGGTTTGGGGGTTCCAATAACAAGGGTTTAAAAAAGAGACGGGTTCTAGTATGAAGGGTCCAGAAAAGGGTCACCAGTAAGGCTTTCGGGTTCTGGGCTGGCCGCCTCCAGGGCTTGCGGAGCGAAGCGCAGTACACCATCAGGCTCTTCTTTTCCATGATGGTTGCAACTCCATCAACTGTTGCTACTCGCTGCGCATCTCCGTGAGGTATATATGCCCCACAGCTCCAAGTTCACCTGCAAGTACGGTTGCAGCATTCCCGGGAAGTCGGATCCATCCTGCGCTGATGAGAATCCAGCATGAGCGGGCTCTTCCGAGCCCCAGAAGTCTGGAAGTGTCTTTTGAGCACTCGTGCTCTGTCGAAGAGCTGTAAGGTTCAGGGACCTTCCTTCGAGTGCAAACACTGACCCAGGTCCTGCACGATCTCAAAGTCTAAACCTCTAATGGCTAGGGTTTAGGATTGCAGGGCTTGGGCTTTTGGGCAATCCTCTATATTCAACCCTGAAGCTCTACATGAAAAACCTTAATCCTGGTCTCGTTTCAGCCAACGGACTCTGACTTCGCGTTCGGCTTCCAGCGCGGGCCCCGGTCCAGCGATCGGGTGTGCCTGACAAGCAGCGCAGAAGCTTCCACAAAGTAGAGGAAGCTTCCGACGAAGTAGTTACAAGTATAACCACGATGCCCCCGTAAACCCTAAAACACAAATCCCTAACGCCTAAACCCTATAAACCCGAAACCCTAAAACACTAATCCCTAAAGCCTGAGCCCCTAAACCCTAAACCTAAACCCAAAAAGAACAAAGCCCGGCTATGAAGGAAGCCAGGGCACGCCGACTTCTCCTTCGTGTAGGCTTTCCACAAGGCCTTCAGGGTATCTTGCAATGGGTTTAGGGCTTAGGGATTTTGGGGTTTAGGGGTGTAGGGTTTAGGTCTTCGAGCCTAAGGGTTTAGGGTTTGAGGATTTCGGGGTGTAGGGTTTAGGGGTTTGAGGTTTACGGGTTCAGGTTTTAGTGCTTGTAGAATTCAATCTGCCCAGGGTTTGCTTGTACAATGTACAATCCACCTAGAGTTTCCTAGTACTTCAGCAGACAATATCCGCAAACCCTATTCTTAACCCTAAACCCTAAACCGTAAACTACAAGGCCACCATCTTGGCAGGACTCAACTGGTACGTAGAGGAAATTGTGATGCCAGGGCTTGGTATGGTTCTGAACAGCTAGGATGCCCAGTAACGACTACAATAAGGGAAAAAAGGGCCCACGGGGAGGCCTAGGCAGGGCTTACTTGGAGGCGCACGGTTGGGATTTAGGGCAGAAGTCCTGGGTGGTTGTAAGTCTGGTTTGAAGAGCCCCGGCTGTGGCTCAGCCATTTCTACTTCACTTGTAACCCAAGTAACTAAGTAGGAGTTTCCGAACATGGGGGATCCTAATATAGTGCCCTAAGTAGTAGGATCCTTACTATAAGGACCCAAAACAAGGCACCCTTAATTTTCGGAAACTCGCAGATGTAAACACCCCCAAGGTTCACAACGATGAGTTGATCATGCCATTGTGATTGGATGTCCGGTGAAGAATGAAGCTACACTCAAAATCAACCCTCAACCCCGCACCCAAAGTGTACAAAGCCTCCTCTGAATCCGAAATAAACCCTAAACCTTAAAACCCTCGACTCGATTGGGCTCTGTATCCTCGAACTCAAAAGCTTTCAACTTGTGACGCTGTGAGGTAGCGGCCTTAATAATTCGAAGAGGGTTTTGGCGCAGATGATAGTTGTAGTGGATGTGTATATATATATATATGGACTTTAAGAGAGCCATCAGTCTTCCATGCTAGACTGATCCCTCCTTCCAAGCCCTTTCGAAGTTGCTGCACGTCCCTTTCAAAACTTCAGACAGGACCTACGCAATCAGTTCAAGCCCCTATTCAGGGTCTCAGGTTCTAGGGTGCATGGTGTGGGGAAGGCCTCTTGGTTTAGGATGTAGAATTCGGCTGCAGGGAATCAATGTATCAGCTATCAGCCTCAATGAGACTGCACCGCCCCCAAACGTCCACACCGCCTGGGTGTCCATCTGTCGCAGCGCGCTCCGCTGCTTGGCCCTTAGCTTTTCTTACGCTTCCGGCGCGACTGTCGATGAGATTGGCCGTGGAGCTCATGTTCTAGATGCGTATGACATGTCTGTTTAGGTTCAATCATAATCGCCCTAAGCCCCGAACCACTAGCTGCCCCATGTGATTTGGGCTACTCCGCCCCAATACTGGCACCAATACAAGGTCCTGCATAATTAGAGTACGGTAGTGGGGTCCTATTGTTCTACAGGCGTGTCTCCAGGAAGCCCGAAACCAGCCCCAAGCGTCATAGAGTCGGAATAGTTTTAGGGTTACCATCTTAACGAAACAACCCCTTTCTCGAACTACAAAAACCTTTTGGAGAAACCCTTAAACCCTCTAGGCCAGGAAACCCTTAACCCTAAACCCTCAGCCCTACTGGAGCCTACAGTAACCCCCCCCCCCACCCCCCCAAGTCACTAAACTTACCTTTGGTTAGTAGGGAATGGAGGAATGGGGTACAATTATAACTCCGCTACCATTCTTCCATTCCCTACTAACCAAAGGTAAGTAAATCCCAGTGCATCTCCCTGTGCTTGCGGAGGCGCGGATTGAACTCCAGGAGTTTCCTGGGCTGAAGCTGTAGGATGCCTTTAGGTGTAGGACTCTAGGGCTTAGGGCTTCCGTTTAAAAAAAAAAGCTTTATAAGTACTCTCATGGATTACTATGGATTTCGGGCTCGGGGTTTAAGGAGTTCAGGGCCAGGGAATGCCAGTTTGTTTTAATGGGTCTTAGGGAGATTCTTGAACTGCTCCTTCTTTACACAAGGCTATCAGTTCCCGCTTTATGCCGTGGACAAGCAGGGGGGGCGGCCTCAAGGTTTCACAAAGGGGCTTCCTACTTAAAGGATCATGGGACTTAGTAACTAGGGTTATAACTAGGGTAACAATACCTCTAACACCAATTAAGGTACTTATAACTTATAACCTTACTTACCAAGTCCCATGATCCTCCAAGTAACCATGCTGCCTCGCACAGCGTGCTGCTAAAACTTCAGCCTTCGGCACCTTGAAGACTCCGTTATGGGAGCCCTTACAGAGAACCCCTTACAGCTCCCCTTAGGACTTCGCGCTTCGCCAGGTATAGAACTCTTGTAGATCCCTTTAAGGATCCCCTTCAGGAGCCCTTTATTACAGAACCCTATAGTACCCTTAAAGTCCCATGATCCTCCATTACAGAACCCTTATAGATTCCTTTAAGGAGCCCTTTATTGCAGAACCCTATAGTACCCTTAAAAGGAACGACTTCGGACTTCGCCAGGGGTCGGGATGGAAATCGCCTCGTCGTAGCCCAGGGACATTGCGGTAAAGACCGAGGCTGCGGTTGGCCTTAGGCGGTTTTTTAGGGATCTATAAGGGGTTCCTTGAAGGGGGGTTTAGGGGGTTTAGGGTGAAGGTTTAAGGGTTTAAGGGTTTAGGGTTTAGGGTTCGGGGGTTTAGGGTTTAGGGTTCGGAGGTTAGGTTGAAGGGTTTCGGGGTTTAGGGTTTAGCGGTTTAGGGTTTAGGGGCTTACGGTTTGGGGGTTTTGGGCTTAGGTTTCAGGGTCCCCAGATGGGGGAACTAGGACTCCGACAAGGGTTACTCTAAGAGTTTACTTTCGGGTTATGGTTTTTTGGGCTTCAATTTCGGTCGTGAAGGGCTCCCTTAGCAGTACTCTAAAAGTGTTTCTATACAGGTTCCGAGAGCGATTACTCTCGGAGTTACTATCGGTTTAGGGTCTTCAAGTTTAGGGCTTTCGTGTTTTCAGCCTTTCGAAGTTGTCCGGGCTTGGAGTCTGAGTAAAGTTTGGGATTTCTAGGTGTTTGGGCTTAGAGTTTGGTCAACCTTATGTTGTCCTTTCGTTTTGGAAGGGTTTGTCGGGTTTCAGGTTGAGGGGAAAAGGGGCAAATCGGAATTCTAGGATTCAGGATGTCAGGGTTTAGGGCTTCAGGGCTCCTCCTATGACATGAAAAATCATACCATCTGCCACAATGTCAGTACGGCTTTTTTCTTTATGTAAGTTTTAGATCTAAACCGCATGCCCCTCCCTGAACATACATGTAAACTGTGCGCGCTTTTTCGGGTGTGGAAGACAAATACCCCGCCCAGAACATACATTCGTTGTCCACAGCTTGACCACACTTGGCGGACAACAGCGGCACGGATCGTTGCGAGGTAGCGTGTAAACGTAATTAACTCTTCATACTGCTTCGAGTCCGGCAACCCAACAACAGCAACCGCAACTTTCACCCATACTGTCTGGTTCTTAGTAGGGAAGGGGCGGGAATGGATACTGGGGACTATTATTAGGGATTACATAGGGACTACTATAGTAGGGATCCATTCCCCGATTCCCTACTAGTACTAAGCACCAGGGAGCATATGGGAGTTCCGAAAATAGGGGGCCCTGATTTAGGACCCTACATAGTAGGATCCTTATTATAAGGACCCAAAAATAAGGTACCCCTAATTTTCGGAAACTCCCATATAGCACCAAGCCGAAGAGAAACCTCGATCCCCAAGCCCGAAGTCCAACACCAGAGGCACCCGAGCCCCAAGTCAAAAAATACTTGAAACCACCAAACCCAAACCCCCAAAAGCGGAATCCTTCCGAAAACCACAAGACCTGAAACTGAAAACCTACAACCCAAACAGCAGTTCTCCAACGAAACCTGACCTAGATGCCACAATGAAGGAGCCTTCCTGAAACGCGCTGGCATTAACAATCGCAAAAACAACTTCAACACCCTAAAGCCTTCGCTCAAAACCGTGGAACCCCAAAAGTTGCAGCCTCGAACACACCTACAAGCATTCTCAGCCCTAATTCCGGGACATTGCTGAGAGCACTGACAGCGGTTTCCCAGACTTCGCCTCTAGTGCTTCGAGCCTGGCAGCAGTCAAAAACGGCTTGGGCTTTAGGGTTGGTTTAGGCTTTGCCAAACAGTCTTATAGGTTTCATAGAAATCCTTCTAATTAGGGGCGTCCATTGGTCTTTCTAGTGTTCTTGCAGGCTTTTGTCTCGAGGCTTCTACAAGTTGAGCCTTTTCGGGCTTGATTTCTTTCGGTTTAGGGTTTAAGGTTTAGGGAACCCTAAACCCTAAACCCTTTCTTAGGTTTCGAGCTCTGAGTTTCACGGTCAAGTTTTTCCAATATGGGTAGTTCTCTAAATTAGGCTCCATTTCTGGGTCACCAAAATTTCAAAACAGTACGGCACCCTGAGAGAACGGACCCCAACACAGTGCCGAGAGTCTGAGGTTTGGCGAATCGAAGACGGCTATACTGTAGGGGTCTCCTTTTATCATAGATATTCTGTAATATACCCTCCAAAACCCAACTCAAATTATTAAGGCCCCTACATGACCGCCAAAGTGTCTTTCGGGAATTTGGGTTCAGTGCCTGTGCATCTTGCGTAGTCAACCGCGGCTTTGATGGAACGTGGGTCGCAGTCGAAGCGTGTTGTGATGACTTGGTGTCCTTGTTTCGTCGTTCGCTACAGACTTCGTTGTGTTTTGAAAATTTCTCTCAACTCAAAGGCTCCGGTGTAGGTTTTGCTCCAGGATGTTGTGAGGCATGGCTGCTCAAGTTTTGTCGAGCCTAGCCGTAAATGCCACTGTAGCAGCTCAGCTTAACTTGTTTGCTCCTGGATTGGTCAGGGAATCGAAAACTGAAAGGGTCTCTTAGGCATGACTCCAATTCCAAGCTTCTGTGTCCTATGTCATGTAGCAGGGGAAGGCACGCATTAGCGAAGTGGTCCAGCAAAAGAGGCATCAGAGAAACAACAAAACAAGGCGTACATGGGTAAATGTACGTACGAGTGCAGCATGCCAGGACTACAAACGTAAGCAACATGTCCCCCAGCAGGCCCCATCGGGAGCAAAGTATGGTATTCAGCAACAGACACAAATACATGTTGCCACAAGCTAGTCGCTCACATGCACCAGAAACACACAAGAGAAACGCACGCCACGGTAAACTACACACACCTTCGACGATCATGACTTGACATGTCGGGGGGACCTATGGAGTGGGTTAACCAACACTCGGTGTGGAGTTTAGGGTTTACCGGGAGGGGGGGGAACCCAAAGAACCCAAAGCCCCGACTCCACTGTGTTCGTCTGCGGGCATGTGGCACGCGAGTCATAGTTGGCATATCCAGAGTCGACGTCCCCTTGGCCTTCGCCGTATGGCTTGGGGTGTTGAGGTGCAGGGATGTGTGGGGTCTAAGGTTCTTTTCTGCTGGTAAAGATACAGAAGGGTCATGTTTCAGAGTTAAGAACTTTCGGTGTTGTGGATAGGTTGGGTAAACCAAGATCTGCTTTAAAGGTCTCCTCGGTGCTGAGATAAACTCCTCTTGAAACCTCTACCTTGAAGTGAGCCCAGACCTGGAACAACCACCATGTCTGCCTTTTCTGAAGTATAGGGCCTGGTCTTAAGCGTTTCACAACCCCGAACAGGAAAATCTGTTCTGTGTTCACATCGCAGGGCTTTTAACTTTCAGAAGTTTCAGCCCTAGTTCCCCACCTCCAATCCAAGGCACCAAAAACCAACTGGCTTCTAGAGATTTCTTTCAAGAGCAGCAGAGTCCCTAAACTTAAAACCCCAAACCCGAAACTCTCAACCCTAAACCCTCAACCCTATACCATAAACCCAAAAAACTCAGCCCTAAACCCTAAACCCCAAAGCCATCGCAACCAGGCGGCGTCGAGAGCCTTAAAGGCTTCTGGAAGGCTGCCTGGCAGCTGAAAGCTTCACGGCACTGGGGACCTTGTTAGGAGGGTTTATGAGGATTTAGGGTTTATGAGGGTTCACAGGGTTTATGTATGAGGGTTTGGGGTTCAGGGTTTATGAGGATATAAGGTTCAGCGGACCTTTAGCAGGGTTTAGGGGTTTGGGGTTTAGGGGCCTTTTAGGAGGGTTTTGGGTTTGGGGGTTTGGGGTTCAAGGTTCACTATAACAATGTATAGTAGTATACCGTACGGTATATTTTCGGAAAGTCTGGTGCACCTGGAAACGGTCTTACGCGCCAAACCCTGAGAAGGCTGGGCTGGCAGGTTTCGATTCAAACCCGAAACCCTAATACGGGGGCCAGAATATGAGAAAAGGGTTTGGGGTATATCGTAATAAAACTGACAAGGAACCTTTAGGAAGAACGTTGGATAAATATTCCGGCTTCTACGTTACCCCACACCGTTTAAGGTGCCTGTAAGCTGCACCCTAAACCCTAACCCCTATAGAAGTATAGAAACTTTATAGAACCCCCCTAAACCCCACTTGGAGGATCATGGGACTTAGTAAGTAAGGTCATAAGTACCCTAATTGGGGTCATAAGTGTAGTTACCCTAATTATAACCCTAGTTACTAAGTCCCATGATGCTTTAAGTAGACCCTAAAACCCCTCTTATAATAGAACCCTATAGATCCCCTTAAAAAGGAGCCCTTCAAGGAACCCTAAACCCTAAAATCTTTAAAAGCCCTAAAAACCCTAAACCCTAAACCCTGCGCCTGTAATCTGCAGAAGAGAACTATACATCCCCTTTAAAGGAGCCCTTTCAGGAATATCCTCCAAGTAGGAACCCTTAAAGGAGAACGGTGCCTGTAATCTGCAGAAGAGACTGTCTGAGATCCTGAATCGACGACGGCTCCCCTGGCGAAGGCTCTCAAGGATTCGGGGCTGAAGCCTCAAGCCTGCTTGAAGGCTCATGGGAAGTTATACGTGTTCCTTTAAGGGTCCCTTTTAGGGGATCTATAGGGATTCTATACGGATCATAGCGCTTTTGAGAATTTTAGGGTGAAGGGTAGTTATAAGTGGGGTTCTAAGTCCCAGACATGGGTTAAAAATATGGTTGCCCTACTTATAACCCCACTTATGACTACCCATGAAGCTCTAACTAACCCCTATGCCTGAAGGCTTACAGAGAGTGTTTAGGGATTTAAGAGTTTCGGTTTAGGGTTTACAGCGGTCTAGTTTTTTCAGAGTTATGTAGTTTTTAAAGACTGAACTCAATTTCTCATTCACGGCCTCACTCTTTCTCTTGCGACTTTCTTGGCTGTAGGGTCGGGGCTTGTTTAAAGCTGCTGCGCCGACTCAAGCGCTCGAGGATGTGGGCAATTAGGCCTTGGTCTCCCAACTTTCATAATGGCACTAGAGTAATCTCAAAGTAGTACAACAAGAGTTGTAATCCAATATGTACTCAAAGAGCCCAATGCCCCTTGACTAAGGAATATACCTTAAACTATTAGGGGCTTCCTTTTATAAACTAAGCTATATTTCTTAATTGAGGGATATTGGGCTCTCTGGGTATACTCAAAAAGGATAAGAAGACGGAAAATCATGCCGACTCCGAACCTGAGAGGCAATCAATGGAAGGATGCCAGCTCTCCAGCTTAGTATAGGGGCCTTAATAAGTAGAATAGGGTTCCCTTTAAAGGGGACTGTAGGGGTTACCTTAAGGGATCTATAATAGGGATCTACAATACAGCGGCCTTAATAATTAGAATAGGGTCTGGGGGTATATAATAATGTTTTCATTATCATAAGGAACCACCAAAATAGTATTGGTATTATTTAGGCCCCTATAGCACGCCTCCCCAGTCCAAAATGTACCCAACATTGCTGGCTTCAAGGGTTTCCATCACCAGTCCAAAATGTACCCAACATTGCTGGCTTGAAGGTTTTCCACCACCCAAGCAGCCAACTGATTGTGCACACCATGACCTGGCAGCTTTCTCGTGCGCACATAGCGCTGGATCCTGTGGATCGCCAGACAAAGCCTTCTCGGCGGCATCCAGCTTGCTAAGAGCACCTTCCACAGCATCTTTGGAAAGGGAGTCACACCATTCAGAGAGAGCCCTTTCTTGCTTGACGCTGGCGTAGCCGATGGCCAAGCAGTCGGCGATCTGCTTCAGCTGAATTTCATCAGCTTCGGAAAGCACAAAAAGTCAGAATGTTGCCGCTCTGACGAATCAGCCATGAGTACAGACCTCGAGGCAAAGGACTCTATCTCTCACAGGGCTTGTAGAACCCAAGGTTCCGTGAAATCTTTCTTTAGGCCAAACCAGGTTGCAAACTTGCACAGGGGAGGAAACACTGTTTTGAAAGGCAAAGGGTTCGGGTGTGTCGTATAACTTTAAGTCCTAAATCCTCAAGCCTAAATCCCAGACTCACAATCTAGACTCTAAACTCTGCAGCAACAGACTGGCACAAGTCAAGTTCGATCAAACTCCAGCCATCTCCAACCCTCGACCCCTCAACCCGAAACCTGCAAATTCCCATCAAGCGCTGATCTAACCAGAAGAACCATTACATGTACCCGAATGAGCCCAAATGTAATGGCTTGTGACGGCTGGTGCAATCAGCCACACTATTCCTTCGCACCCCGAATACATATACTTACCATACACATTCTCTAAGTTTGTAGGCGTAGCCCCAAAGCCCAAACACCGAAACCTTCCAAAAAGCCCCAAGCCCTGAAACCCGACACCCAAAGCCTTGAACGCAAACCCAAGCCCGAACTCAACAAAAGCACAAGAGCTCTGAAGTCTTAAACCCTAAACCCCCAAACCTTCAAGCCCGAAAACTCTGAACCTAGACCCATTCAGCTTTAGCAGGAACCCCCGTAGCAACCCTTAGAATTGCTTTTTTAAGTGGAATCTCTTAGAGGAGCCCCAGAACGTCCTGAAACCTAAGCCCGGCGTTTCGTAGATTTATGGGGAACCCATAAAGCACCTATTAAATACACGTGCCTTTACATATAATGAAGTGAAGCAACTGCAATGACATCGAATGGGTGCTCACTTCCTTAAAAATCAGGCCGCTTTTTCCATGTTTAAGCTGCTGTCTTGCTTCCTATCTTCTTCCATCTAATTTTTGACTAGGGGTCCTCGGTGGCTGCCTGGTTCGTTCCTCACACTACACTACCTTTTCACAAAATGCGTTACCAGTCCAGAATCCTTGGGGAGAGGTTGCCTACGCTACTACTACCTCAGCAGAGCAACCTCGGAATAAAAAGGGTGCCCTTTTTGGCTTAAAGGGGGTTGCAAGGGAACCTAAACCCCAAAAAAGGGAAGACGGGAACCTAAACCAAGGGAACCCAAACCCCCCCAAAAAAGGGAATTAAGGGCCTACTCGAGGTCCTAGACGACTAATATGCCCTTAGGGCGGGCCTGCCTTAGGATGCCCTTAAACCCTAAGCCCTGAACCCCAAACCCTGAACCGTAACCTCTAACCCTTAAAGCCGAAAGCCTAAACCCCAAAGCCCAAACTCTAAACCCTAAAGCCTTAAAGGGGGGCCTGCCTGAGGCTAGGCCCAAGGATGGCGCTGAGGCTGCGCCGTTCCTGGTCGTCGGGTACATAGGGCCCAAAGGAACTGAAGGTTGACCTTTGGATGATATATACATATGTATATGTACAAATGGAGGTTTCAGAAAATTTGGGATACCTTATTTTGGGGTCCTTCTAATAGGGTACTATAGCAGGGTCCCCTATTTTCGGAAACTCAAAAAAAATAATATATATATATATATATATATATGGGTAGTTGTCAAAATCCAGGTTCCTTTGTGGGTACCTTAAATATATAGTGCCGTATTATATTAAGGACCCCAAAAGGGACCCGAGTTTTGACAACTACCCATATATAAAGATTGTAGCACCCCCAAAAAGATTCAAAGTTGGGGCAGAGGTTACCTGCCGTCTTTTTGGGCTTCGACGGCAGGTTTATAAGGCTGCTTTTTGTGGTGCAAAAGTTCTATGCGGGGTGTCGGGTTTAGGGTGGAGGTCTTAAATGCTCCTTTAACGAACTGCACGATTGCCGGGTCGCCTTTTTAGAGCTGCATGGGTAATTATACGTGGGTTATAAGGGCGGTAGCATAATTATAATCCGTATTCGGGGACGTAGTACCCACTTATAATAACTACCCATGAACCTTCAAGATCTTTAGACATCTACTACCAAAAGCCCGAACAAAGCATCTTCCAACGCCCGCAAGGCCTGATCCGGTACATGCTCGTAAGCTTCGAAACTCCAAAGCCCAAGCACGAAATCCGAAACCCCAAGTCCCAAAGCTGCAACACAGAACAGGCCACACTCGACTTGAAAGAAACCCGGAAATGCCAAAAGACTACAAGAAAGATCCGCTGCCTACTCAATATGCTGCTCCGCTCCGGAGCGCTGACTACCTCGAGGGCACATGCAGCTTGAGGCGTTCGAAGACATTACTCCTTCTCTTCTTCCCCAACTCCTACTTCTACTCTTGATCCTACTCCTGCTCCTACTCCTATCCCGACGACGACGACTGCTGCCACGAGTACTGCTCCTCCTCCTGCACTGATCCGTCCATAGCGTTCCAGGGTAGTCGGCCTTAAACACTTACTTGAGTGTATGTGTCACAATCAGAATCGCTCAGGCCCCAGTACATGCTTTGGGGGCGCGTTTCGATGCAGGTATGTGAACACCCGGCCGGATAACAACTGCGACCCACTCCGTCCCCCCTCCCCTCCGCCAAAAAGCCGACAAAGCCATCTGAAACCAGAACCCTGAAATCCGAATCCAAAAAGCACCACGATGCTAAACCCTCAAACGCGACATCGTTAACCCTAAACTCGAAACCCTACGCCCAACACCCCGGCCCTAAAATATTACCAACAGAAAACCACATAAAACTCAGTAAGCCATCCAACAAAACCCCTCATGGAGCCCTAGAATCTAGAAGCCACCACAGCACCCAAGAAAGCTGCCGCAAGCCCTGTCAGACAATATAAATCCTCTACAAAACCCCCTATGAGTTCCCTTGATGCAGACGAAAACGACCCCTCGTGTGAATTCCCTGAAGCAGGCGAATCCTATACTCTCTACCCCGACTTGGAGGTTCATGGGAAGTTACAAGTAGGCTTTATAACTCCACTTAGGCCCACTTACAACTGCCCTCAACCCTATAATTCTTAAACCCCACAATCCTTAAACCCTATAGAGCCCTTAAAGGAACCCTAAACCCCATAAGAACCCCACTTATAACTACCCATGAACCTCCAAGAAAAACAGCCGAGGCTTCGGCTGGTGGTGCCCACAGGACCGCCCCCTTCGCCAAAAGAGGCGTTGGAAGCTCACGGGGACTCAAGAGCCTTCATGTAGAAACCTGATTAGACAACCTTGGGCCTGTCTTAGGGATCCATTAAAGAGGTCTATAGGGGCTATTACAAGGGATCGATAAGGGTACTATAGTAATGTAGGAACCTGATTGAGACACCTTGGGCCGTTATGAGGGTTCCTTATATAACTCCTACTATTCGGGGGTTACAGGCTCAGGGTTTCTTGGTCAGGTTCCTACACTAACCATTTATGCTATTTTGCTCCCCTGAACCCTAGATCCAAAGCTCTGAACTCTAAACCCCCCCTTGTCTGACAGATCCCAAACATCTAACCATGGAGTGCAATAAGCTCAGATCTCACTTAGATGCACACACACGCATCCACCCTGCTTAGCGTTTAGGGGTCAGGGATGGTCAGGGCCCACTGCAGGGTGTCCGACAAGGACTCCTAGGGTTCCGTTAAAAGGATCTATAAGGGGATCTATGGGGTTTAGGGTTTCGGGGACTCCAATATCCCTAAATTAAGGAATATGCCTTCAGTTGTAGTAGGATTCCTAATATGACTTAAGGGGAGTCTATGGGGTCTGAACACGAAAAGCTTAAGCTCCGGAATTGGACTGACGAATATACCCCGAAGCACCGTAAACCCCGAAGCAAGACCGCAACAGTGCAAAGGCTCCAGAGATTTCCTGGGATGAGGGCCTCGAGACGTGGAAAGCTTACCAGGCGCCAGAACTTATAAGCATGAAGCCGTGGGTATCGTGGTCTGGGGTTCTGGGCTATGCGTTCTATGCCGCAGGGTTGTGACTCTGCTTGGTTTCTTGTGGCCTCAGGGATCCCTAAACCTCTGAAGAACCTTCTCAAGGTGACGTAAGGCCGCAACTTGAGGTCTTTAGGGGATCGCGAGGAGACACAGGGAATCAGATCTTCGAGAGCGAATCTCGGAAGCTGAGGTGACGACCCTCCAGAAGTTTCAATCCCTTAAGCTTTCGATAAAATCTCAAGCTAGGGTTACAAGGCTTCGGCTCTTCGGGTGGGGGCCAGTCTACTGCCACTTTAGGGTTTGGGCTTTAGGCTTCCATGTTCAAGCACGAACTGCTCTAGCAAATCCTCCTTTCCATCCCTCCCGCCTGGCTCTGTGACGGTTTTGGCCGTAGCGTGGCCTCGCATGCCGATGGCACATGGTGAAGAGGGTTCGAAGCCTTAAACACCCCTTGGCCCTGAACCTTAAACATAAGCTCTCACTGCGCTTCTCAGCCGCAGAACAATCTCCATAGCTAAAGCATTTTCTTACTCTAGTAGAAGAGCGTTTTTTTAGAAGATTGCACGTTCAGCTTGCGCCCCCTGGGTTTCGGACACAGCACGATCTCCACAGCTAGAGTTAAAGCGTTTGCTTTACTTAGAAGAGCGTTTATGTCAATGACTCTGCCCGAACATTGCTCACACCCTAAAGTAAATGCTAAGCACCCTAAACTAAACCCTAAAACTTTAGAGCTTAGGGCCTAAACCCTACATTTTGCGGCCCCCGTGTTGCTGCCCAAGAACTCAAGGGCTGACTGAACAAAGGCCGATCCAAGCTTCCAAGCTTCAAGGCCCAAGCATTTTGGATAGCCTTAACCGGAAATCTTCAATAAGTATGCAGGGGAAGCCCATAAACCCTAAACCCCTACACCCTACAGCCCTAAACCCTAACCCCCCCTACACTCCAAAACCCCTAAACCATAAACCCTATAAACCCCTAAACCGTAAACCACCTGAACCCCTAAAACCCCAAACCCCAAACCCTACATTCCCAAAAGAAACAGAATCTCAGAAGTTCCCTCCCTATACTGAACTTAGAACCCTAGCAACAATTATAATTTCAGCTGTTTCTTAGGGATTATAATAACCAAAAATCAAACAATTATTTCGAAGTACCCCTAAGCTCCAGCCTGCGCAGCCTCCCTCGCCTGGGACTGCCAGGGCGGTCCTCAATGGAGGCTCTTTGGGGGTTGCGACTAGGACGGTTTTGAGTTTAGGCTTTAGGGCTTTAGGGTTTAAGGGTTCAGGGCTTAAGGGTTTAAGGGCTAAGGGTTTAGAGTTATAAGTACCCCAATGTGGGTTGTAATTATGGTTACCCGGTTTAAGGGTTTAGGGTTTAAGGGTTTAGGGCCTGCTCAACGAATGGTCTGCGTGTTGACAGCATCGCGGACACGTTTAGGGTTTTGGGTAGGCTCCGAACCAATATTGAACAATGCTGCATACTGTAAGACATTAGGCTTCTCTATGGTCATGGTGGCATCGTTGGGAAACCAAAGCATCTGCAATGGAGGTACAGTATGCATTAGCATCAATCACTCGCTCCACGCACGGCTGTCTTCCACACCAATTTTGGACGTCCATCACCGCCCTGTGCCATCACCGGATGCGACATACTCAACACTAGAACACATGGGAGTTTCCGAACATTAGGGGTACCTTATTTGGGGGTCCTCAAAAAAACGACGCGTACTATTTCGGGTACTCTATTTGGGTTCCCTATTTTCGGAAACTCCCACATCCAAATCATGCAGTTGCACTTGTACACTGTTGTCAGGTCGGAGTCGGGTTGAAGGCCCTGACGAAAATCTCCTGCAAAGCTTACCACGAAAACTACTCTGTCCGAGCTTGAAGAACTTGGATGGACCATCGCTGTCAGCGAAGTCGCCATCATCATCATCTTCTTCTTCTCACGCAGCCCAAGGATCCGGTCTAGCGGGCACTATATACATCACATGCGTAGGCATGGACGGCTTCTTACAGAAGCAGCACTAATGCTCGTGGGGAGCAGTTCTTGCGCCGTAGCGCCGTTCACGTGTGACTTTGTCACTCGTCTAGCTCATCGAAAAGTACGATCTGCAAATTCTCAGTCAGCTTGTTATGCCCACGTGGATGGAGAAGGCGATCAAGCTTGAGCTCTACCATGCGTACCCGGTGCTTGAGGTCAGTGTAGATCTGGTTTAGGCTCGCCATATCCGCAGCTATCTGTCTCAACTGGTATTTCAGCAAGAAAAGCTGCGCCGCATGCCAATCCATCTCCTGTCTCGGCAGATCGTTCACCGGTATGTAGATTGGCGTAGGCATCAATGGTAGGATCCGAGAGTGAGGAATCTGCTACAGCAACTTCGATTGAGCGTGAGAGGGCTGTGTGGGGTTTGGTCAACACCACAACGTACATGTTTCGACTGACATGCGCGCACATGCCAGCATCAAGGCTTTGTGGGTCTTTTGCGTCGTCAATGAGCCACGGCTCCACTGCATCCCCCCGAGCTGCGGAGCGAAGCTGAATCACTGTGTAATGACCTTGGTCCGATCGTGGACCATGGTGCTGGATGACACATGCCACATCATAAGGCACCCACTGAACTGTGAGATCCGTCTGATTTCGATACACCGGCACCTGAAGTCGGCGGACAAGACCATAGGTGCGTTTGCACTTCTGGCACGAGCCCCTAACCCACTTAAAGCGAGGGAGCTGAAGGAGTACCCAGGGGTGAGGGGCAACCAGGGCATGCATGACATCCTGGGTATGCCAGAAATTGAGCAGAGCTTGGAGGCTCTTGTTGTGCTTAGGCATGGCAGGCAGCACGATACAGCGTGTGAGCGAGGATTCAAAGCGACGATACAGGCCTTCAGGCCCGTGTTGGCGAAGTTCGATCTCGCCTGCAGTGCAATCAACAGCTATCTGTGGGAGATAAACTCCGTGACGTCATGCTGTTGTTCAGGCCGCTGCCACCCCAAGAGATGGAAGGCAAAAAGCCGACGCACACAGTAGTGCCCAGCCCTGTTTTCCCCAAGCACCTGAGGCAACCGAAGTACAGAACCCGTCAGACGCGTGATGAGCCAGAAGCAGTAGGTGGCAGCATTCATGTAGCACAGATTACCCTGATTGACTAAGCGGAAGTTTGCAACAGGGCTGGGCTGAGCACGCGGCCCAGCATCCGCAATGGAACCCATGGGCCCAACATTGGTAGCGGATACCCCTCAGCTGCTGCCGTACGTCAGCTGCGCCAATTGCTGCTGCAGTGGCCCCCTGTCCCGCTTTTCGCGGCGTAGCGACATGCCCACTAAGCCCGTGGAGGAGTTGTTGATGAACCTCACCAAGGCCTCGTGTACCTCCGTCGCATCCTGAGACTGATCTCGAGCTTGAATGCTGCCGACGTAGCCCCCTGTTCCTCCAATCTTTGCATGCCCGTGGTGCTGTGGAAGTTGAGTACAATGTCCCCCTTGGTGTTGTCGTAGAGCAAGTTGAGCAACCGCACCGCATCCGTGTGCTGAAGCGCCGGCCTGCTGGAGTCGGGGAGAAGCCGTTTGGCTTTGGGGCACCATTTCATGTAGCTCCAGTCGCCGTTCTCTGTCATCCAGCCCGCAACCTGTGCCGATTTGCGGCATTCGACGGTGGTGAAATAACTTGCCATCGTTGGCGGAGCTCCCTGAGTAACCCTGCCAGCAACACCGTTCGGAGAGGGGATACTAGGGCTGGATCGCCCTGCTCCTTCTTCTGGCGCCACTCCCGAGTCATGGCCATCATGGAGTGCAGAACACTCCGGGAGTCCTGTTTCAGGAACATCATCAGCCCCCGATCCTGCTGCAACAGTTGTAATGTGTCGGCCTGTTGAAGGACCACTTTGCTGATCAGACGCACATGCTCCGAGAGCTGAGGCGGAGGCTGTGGCAGGTAAGCCGCCTGCCCCGGCCGCGGGGGCTGACGTGGGTGCCCCGGTCTCTGACGCTTGCTGCGGCTGCCCTGTGGTGTGGCCTGTTGCCCGACCGTCCCTGCAGTTGAGGCCGCCGACTGAGCTGCTGTGACCGGTGGCGGTGCCCCGCTGGGGAAGCAGTGCTTGAAGATTTCGGCCTCCTGCTGCTCGGGCGTCGCCTCCACCTGGATCGTCTCCGGTGTGGTCATGTTGCTGCGAGATGGAGTCCTGCACGTGGAGATGTGCCACTGTGAGCTGAAACAGAACTGTGCATTGCTGGGAGTGCCTCGTCGGCACCCCAACTTTAGAGCGACAGAACAGACAGTTCCTACCGCGTGTGAGCTGTGACTTAAAGGTGAGGCAGAGCCTATTGGCACGCGAGGGCAGGTCACCTAAATGCGGCGCATGAATGCGATGAAAATGTTGCTTAGCATGCTTGCTGCTGGCCAACCACATGTGACATAGGACACAGTACGACGTCAGCTGGGCTCGAGCCGCAGGATGCAGCGCCCACTGTTCCCACCTGTGCCGAGCATTCATAAAAGACGGCCGTCTCACGAAAGGTAGTGAGTCCTCTGGTACAGCTTCAGCAACCGCTAAGGGAGCAGTGGCCGTAGCCACAGTGCTGGCAGAGACTGTTTGCTGCATGCGCATTTGCTCGGTCTCATCAAGCGGATGGCGGGTTAAACTCTCGCCCCCTAGTGCTGCACAACAACCTTGTTCTATATGTTTCTGCAGCTGCTGCCAACGAAAGAAACGCCGACGGCAAAGTCGGCACTCCGGCATGCCATTCACCGAGTGCTTGACAGCATCAAAGGATGTGGGCTGTCGGGTGTGCTCCGGGAGAACGCCGTGCTGAAGCTTACTATGAACTCGCATGGCATTAAGGGTAGGGAACATGCGACTACATGTAGGGCAGGGCACCGGATCAGGCAGATGCTCATCTAAAACAAGCGTCGGCGGCTCATGCGCCTCACGCTTCAGGAGGGCCTCAAAAGAATCAAGCAGCTCCCCCAAGAACTCCAGAGTCCTGGGGGCAGTGGTGATGTCAGGGCTGCAAAGCTGCTGATGGTGCAACTTGTCCTTCATGTTCCGCAGCTGCTGGGTGATTGCCACCACCAGCCGATCGAGCTGAGCTTGCCTCCATACCGCAGTATTGGGGGTGTGGCTGAGGTGTGCGGGTATACGAAGGATGGCCCGCAAGTGTTTGAGGAGGGCCTTGTCCATGGCCTCTAGGCTCTTGTCGTGGCAGCCTACCCACGGGAGGGAGTACAGTGCACTCGTGTACACACAGGAGCGCCAGAGACTGATGCGATGCTTCAAAGACAGAACATGATGCCCATTGAGCGTGCGACAGATGGCCTGCTGTTTGGCCTGGCCCGCCTGTTGTCGCTTCCTGACATTGCGACTGACCCGGTCCGCATAGGAGACCACTGTGCCGAGGTATTCATTGAGTGCGGATCGGAATGGTACAGTGCCGACCCGAGACATTCAAGTGCAGATGCAACTGACCTGCCTGATAGGAGGTAAACTCTCGCAGGACACCCTTGGCCATCATCATCATCATCATCATCACCATCATCATCATCATCACTCGAGTTAGGATCCACTATCCTCGCTGGCCCAAAACCCAAGGAAATAAAAGTTGAAACTTTCAGAACCGATTACAGTAGAAGAACCCCAAAAGTTGAAAAGTTTAGTTTACAGCCAATAAGTACCTTCAGATTCTACATTAGAAGGAGCCCCCACTCTGCAATAGTGGTATAATAGGAATAGAATAGGGCCCTAATACAATCCTTATAGTCACTATTACAGGGTGGGGGCAGCTTGTAAATTCTACTGAACTTAGAACCCTAGCAACCATTATAGTTTTAGCTGTTTCTTAGGGATTATAATAACCAAAAATTCAAAATTATTTCTAAGTACTCCTGAGTCTACAGTTCGGAGCTCTTGCTACACAGGTTCCCTGCTACCCGAGCCCTCAAGACGCGACATCCTGCTGCCCCTTTTCAGAAGCTCCAGTAGCACAGGGGCCTGAATAGTAGAATAGGGCTCCTTTAAAGGGGGTCTATAAGGATTGCTATGAGGGCTATTATAAGGGTTTAGTTTAGGGACCTTAATAATTAGAATAGGCTTTTGGGCCCATTATTATACTATAACTATAGTGAGGAGACCCCCAAAATAGTATAGGTAGTGATTCTTAAGGCCCCTATAGTATTCAGCTGAGGTGCTGTAGACTGACGACGGTGCGTCGCCCGGCGGCTTGGAAAGGGTGTAACCCTCCTTCGAGAGCCTTCGACGTTGCATGGGCTTGTGAAACCCAGGGTTTAGGGTGGGTTTAGGGTTTAGGGGTTATTAAAATGAACCCAAGAAGGGACCATAATTTAGAGAACTACTCTCGTTGGAAGCAACATCAAAGCCTTAACACCGGACGTTTTCTAGTTTCGCTACGCAGAGAGCCCAATACCCTTTAGTTAACGAATACAGCCTAATTCATACTTAATGTGAAGGCCCTCATTTTCTAAGGGTATATTTCTTATCTGTATTTGGCTCCCTGGGTACTGTACCACGTTGCCAGAACCTCGGGGCGACGCTGCAATTACAAGGGCCTCCGTGTTGATCTGCGTCATGTGATTGGCTTCATATCAGGGACTCTTTGTAGGTCCCCAAACAGTACGGTACCATAATAGCGTTTCACACTGCGGTTTATCTGTCGCTATGACATCACGTACCTGCCCATAGCGTATCTGTGTAACAATCCCTTCAAGGCCTAAGTCCATTCGGTTTTGGGTTTAGGGCTCAGGGGTTGGGGCTTTCTACATCAGTAATCCCTTCCCCCTAATTAACCCCCCCCCCGCAATAAGAACTCCATTACATGGAGCCTAGAGAATGCGGTTTGGTGGGGAGGCAGCCAAGGCACTTCAACAGCTCCTCCTTAAGGCGCAAGTTCTCAGCGATTAGCGCAGCCAAGTCCTGCTAAGAGCTCGAGGTGTCGGATAGGGCTCTCCATTGCAGGACAGTGAGTACAAAGAAATGCAGGCAAAGGGATCCGTATTGTATTAGAAGGATATCGCTGGCCGGGATAGGAGGCTGCGGATTCTTGTGCCTCAGATCCTGCTTCGTGGAGTTTGATAATCGCCGAAAATCAGTCAGGTTCTCCAGCTGGTCGGAAAGGGCGCCAGGTTTGACAGCAACTCATGAAGGTATAAGGGTTCTGTGCTTGGGAGCAGGCGGAACAGTGGGATGAGGTCTCAACCGGCACAGGCACTCATTCAAATCGGCTTCGGATATACATACATATATATATATATAGATATATATATATATATAAACACACGTATATACATATCTGTATATGTTTATGTGTGTATATATATACACATTTATTGGTATACACACGCATATATACACAAACATACTTATAAACATGCTTCTCACCTCATACACGTCAGAGCCAAGCTTTGCTTTCTGAGAAGCAGGGGTGACGCGGTGCTTCCTACACAGCCTTAACACGAGTCTCTGCACTCATGGCCTTTGACCATGACGTTGGGGGCTGAGTTCAGTATCACACTTGGCAGCAGACTTGGAGCTGAGGCTGTGAACCACAAGTACCCTCAACAACCAATATTGCAAACCAGTTGCTCCTAGTAAAGCCTTACCCCATCGAAGCTGACGTCTGACGTCCTAAATGCCTGAAGTCTTGACTCCACTGCTCTGAAATTTAACCTACATCGCAAGCCCAAATTAAAAAAAATCCTCAACCCCAAACCTCAACTTCAGTGCCTCAACCCACAAATGCACAACCCTCGGGCCTGTGGCGCGGCCTGGATGCAGGATTGCTTTGTCCACGGACTTTGGGGCTGCATGGCTTTAGGGGCCCACTGCTGCTCCTCCTCCTCCTCCTCCTCGTGTTGCGTCTGTTGCTACGACAGCAACAACAACCACCTCCACCACCACCACCACCACCACCACCACCACCACCACCACCACCACCACCACCACCACCACCACCACCACCACCACGACCACCACCACGACCACCACCACGACCACCACCACCACCACGACCACCACCACGACCACGACCACGACCACGACCACGACCACGACCACGACCACGACCACGACCACGACCACGACCACGACCACTACCACTACCACTACCACTACCACTACCACTACGACTACTACTACTACTACTACTACTACTACTACTACTACTACTACGACTACCACTACCACTACCACTACCACTACCACTACCACTACACCACTGACATACTGCTACTGCAACTGCGCTCCAGCTCCCGCTCCCACCCCCACTCCTACTCCTTCTCCGATACCTACCTACTTTTTCCTACCTATACCTACCTACCTACACACCTAACATGCGAACTTCTACCTACCCACCCCCCTACCTACCTACCTATATCTTACCTGCCTACCTACCTACTACTGCTGCTAGGAACCAGTGTGTTGGGATACCTTTGGCAAAAGTGTGACTTTTGTGTTTTGGAGGACTCGCGGGGAGGGATTTACCTATCACGGATTCTGAGTAGTCTCTGTGTGGGTTTGCAGGGCTCCGAGGGATGTGCTTACGAGGATGCAGCATATCAGGCGTAAGGGTTGAAGGCTCAGGAGTGAAGCTGAGACCCCGAACACCAAAACCGTAAAGCCAAACTAAATCTGGTCCGATCCAAAGGGTACTTGGAGCTTCCAACAACCCGGGACCCGCTCCGGAGGGCGACGATTCCTCGCACTACCTCACTACTAGTACGGACTTCAGGGTATGGCTTGGCAGGAGAATCCTGCCATAGAGTAGAGTCGTGTCGCTGGTCCCTCCTTATCCTAGCCAACTGTGCAGGACATGCTCCATGTTAATGTAAGAACCTGATTTAGAAACCTTGGGCCTTTATTGGGGTTCTTAATATGGATCCTAATATATTGGGGGTTCTAGGGCCAAGGTTTCTTAATCAGGTTCTTACACTATCCGCTTGGAAGCACCTCCACGCCATCCGAGGGCTCGCCATCAGCAGCCATGGTCGCGGATCCTGCGGGCGGCCGTGAGCAGGGTTTCTTAAAGGCATGTATAAGGGCTCCTTCAAGGGATCGATCAGGGTTTCTTGAAGGGATCTATAAGGGATCCTTAAAGGGATCTATTAGGCTTTCTGTTTCGGGCTGCCTGGTCTACTATGGGGGCCTTCATTACTAAAACATAGTAAGGAACCCCCAAAATTCTGGAACCCAATTATCGAAACCTATCATAGGACCCTTTAAAGGAACCCTTCAAGGAACCCCCCCAAGATAGTATCGGTAATTATCTAGGCGCGCTAGCCCTGGCAAGAGAGAGCGCTAGGTTCCCCAGTAGCCTCTTAATAACATTCCCAGAGAGCCCAATACCCCTTTTTAATTAAGGAATATAGGTTAAATCATAATATGAAGCCCCTTGTTGATGGACAAAATCCTGCATGACCCTAAGGAATCTAAACTATGGGAACTATGGTATATAGCTTATAATGGGTAATGCAGGATTTTGTCCATCAACAGTAACATTGGTACCCGGTTTGGGGTTTACGTAGGGTTTATATGAAGGGTACCATTTTCCCCCAATTCGGTGTTGTAGCCAGGGAGCCCCAACATGAAAGAGCTAAAGGGGCTACTACTCAGGAACCTACTTGGAGGATCATGGGATCTATAAGGGTTCCGTAATGGAGGATCATGGGACTTAGTAAGTGAGGTTATAAGTACCTTAATTCGGGTTATAAGTATAGCTACCCTAATTATAACCCTCGTTACTAAGTCCCATGATCCGTTAAGTAGGACAGATGCAGATTTGAGGCTTTGGAGTGCCGTGTCCAAGGGTTTGCACAAGCAGCTCGCATCTGCAAAGGAAGCAAATGCCAAAAGGGGACAATGCACTCAGGCCGCAATCTCAACACGTCTCTTACAAAGCCAGGCTGAATGCTGAAGGCCCCGAAAATCCAAGACTAACTCCCCCTAAACCCCTAAACCCCTAAACCCCTAATCCCCTAATCCCCTAATCCCCTAAACCCCTAAACCCCTAACCCCTAATCCCCTAATCCCCTAAACCCCTAAAGCGCAAACTCCTGAAGTCTGGAGTTCAGCCGTGCGCCGAGTCGGGCAACACTTTCCTAACCCGGGCTCTTCCCTGTCCTTGCTGCGGCCATGCTAGCCAGATAATACCAAAGAAAGCCTGTAATATTGGGGCCTTAATAATCAGAATAGGGTTTTGGGGATTTATCCTTCTACAACCATTACGGGAAATTTCAGAATAGTGTTGGTAATTGTTTGGGCCCCATACTATTCTGCACTCTTGCTGCCTTCGGGTTCGGAGTCATCTGCTTGAGATCTTCAGAGGTTTAGGGCTTTGGATTCGGGCTTCAAAGCTCCGGGTCGAAAGCTTGAGAGTTTCTGTGGCATCGGCTTGGGATGCATCATGCTGGCCCTTTGAGTGCCGCTCAGATGCATGTATTTTCCGGCACTACCATCATGAGCAGTATCAGTCTTACAACTCCTGTCGTTCGTAAACTAACGGTTTAGGGTTTAGGGTTAGGGATGCTTTTGTCATTTCTGCAGGGCCTGACGCCTGGAACCCAACCCTTCGGGGTGTAGGGTAGCCCAGGCCGAAGAAGTCTTGAGCCAAAAGTCGCATTTTCTGCTGAAGCTGGCGCCCCAGTCGGGGACTCTGCTCGGAGGATCATGGGACTTAGTGAGTAAGGTTACAAGTACCTTTATTGGGGTTGTAAGTATGGTTATCCTAATTATAACCCTACTTATTAAGTCCCATGATCCCTTAAGTGGGGTCTCCAAAACTTCGAAGTCTGTAGGGTTTAGGGTTTAGGTTTCTTTTTCAAAAAGGGCCTCCAATGGCTCGAAGGCATTAAAGGGCAGCATTGAAGGAGCCTGCTTGACGGTCATGGGCAGTTATAAGTGGGGTTATAAGTCCCTATGACTCATAATTACGGTTACCCTACCTATAACCCCACTTATAAGTGGCCATGACCCTCTAGGGACCTAGACCTAGGAATCTAGGGCATGAGGCAACTTCATGTTATGTCGTTAGACATCTTATTGGGCAGCTTGTTCATTGGCTGTAAGTTCATGTTTTCGTCTCAGAAACTGTCGTGCAACTACTCCAGGTGCTTCCTACTTATTTACCACTGTCTGCTATCCGCTAACTCCTAAACCCTTGTACCTATACCGTAACCATACTTTGCTGGACTTGGCATCATTTGGTGTCGCTCACAAGAGAAAGACGGTTGCCAAGGAGCTGCTGGCAAGCTTCAACTGGTGCTGCCGTTGGGGCTCACTGTGTAACGAGGTGGAGCTAGAAGGAATACTCGTATATAGCACTTTTCCCTGTTCTGTGCGTGAACTGCTAGCAGTAGATGGCTAAGTAAGGTTTTACCAGGTAACACATACAGCAACTGGGTCCGTTTGTAGGGATATGTAGCTTTGTCTAGCGGCATGTGTATTTACATATATGTATATATATATATATATATATATATATATATATATATTTGTATATATATATATATATATATATGTATATATTTATATTTCTATATACGTATCTTATACATGTACATATATAATATATTTGTACACATACAAACTGTACCAAGCATTTCAGGAGAAATAGCGGGCCAGGCAAATGCCGCCCCTGCCGAGTGATATACCCTTCGAGCCACTTCAGTGTGAACAAGGTGAACTTCCCTCCATGTGAGCATCTGGCGTCACAACGTCCACGCTTGCTCCTGGACGGCTGTTCGACATTGTACTGTATCTAGCTGGCCTGCTTGCAACGTGTTCTGGGCTGTTGTGGTTTGGGGTTGAATTGTACTTTGTCTTCTCCCAAAAACCATTCTCCACAATCGCAGCCTCATCATTTGCACCTTCTTTTCATGGCTCAGGATTTTTACATTCGCTTTGATGCTGTATCTTGGGGTGGGGTGGCTTAGGGAGGAAAGATCGAAATCATGCTAGCCGGCACAATAATGACGATTATGGTGGTGATGATGGTGACGGAGATGATGATGACGATGATGGGCATGACCATGATCATGATGATGATCATCATCATCATCATCAACGCCGATTCACCGTCATATTCACTGTCATCACGATCGCCATTGCCTCGTTTATCATAATGTCTGCCTGCAAAGCCCGTGTTATACCCGAAAGCCTTACGTGCCTGATTCTGCGCAGCTGAGCACAACCCGAGTTCCCCGCGCGGAACTGTATGAAGCCCACAAACCGTCATCGAGGCTTACACATATCCTATACTGAACTTAGAACCCCAGTAAAATTTGAAATTTTAGCTGTTTCTTACGGATTATAATTACAAAAAATTAAAACTATTTCTAAGTACCCCTAAGTATCCATGAACTGTCCTTTCGACTTGTTCAGCCAAAAATAAACAAAACTATTTCTAAGTACCCCTAAGTGTCCATGAAATGTCCTTTCGACTTGTTCAGGCCCTTTATTGACCGCCGGCCTCTCATTCTGTTCTTCGTCCCGCTGCAGCCTCATGGAGCTTTGCGTGGCGTTGCTGGGTTCTTGCTAAGTAATGATCTATAGAAAACATATGGTTTCTCTTTTTTTATCGCAAGTCTATAGCAAAATCATATGGTTTCTCTTTTTTTTTTATCGCAACTCTAGAGTAAATCATATGGTTTCTCTTCTTTGATCGCAACTCAAACTACTTCCCTGAACAATAACCCAGATGGTGAATACGGTTTACAGCTTCGAGCTTCGGCTCAAGGTTCGGGTCGAGGATGTAGCTCTTCGGATGACACCTTTAAAGGGATCCTTTAACATCCTTTAACAGGGTTTAGGGTTTGGGGTTTAGGGGTCAGGGTATAGGGTTTAGGTGCAAGGTCGAGGGTTCCGGTCTAAGCAGTTGGGGCGTAGGGGTTTGGGCTTCAGGGCTACTGTTCGTAGTATACGAACCATAACAGTTCAGGACAGAGGTACTGATTTTATCTTCGTAGCAGACTGGCACCCTCCTTGTGAAATACTTGCCCTAAACCCCAAACGCCAAGCCGCCTCAAACTCGTAAGCCCTAAACCGCTACAAACACCCCTAAACCCTGAACCCAGAAAGCCCTGAACCCCTGAAGTTCGAAACCCTAAACCATCCTAAACCTCTAAAGTTCGAAACCCTCAATAAACCCCAAACCCGTCACAGTGGCAATAGCCGGGTTGCACAGAAGCGATCCGGAGCTTCTGTTCTTTGTCCGGAAAGAGTGGCACTTAGGATCATGGGACTTAGTAACTAGGGTTATGATGAGGGTAGCTATACTTATAACCCCAATTAAGGTACTTATAACCTTACTTACCAAGTCCCATGATCCTCCAAGTGTTCTTTGTCCGGACAGAACTGCAAGCCGGGTAGTAGACACAAACAGCCGTGTGCATATAGACATATACACATAAATATACCGTACATGCATTCTACGATGCATTATTTGTCTATCTATCTGTCGGTCTATCCATCTATCTATCTACCTAATCTATCTGTCTGATCTAACTGTCCACCTAATCTAGCTAATTTTCTATCTGTCTTTTACTTATGTACTATCTGTCTATCTATATCTACTGATATTGCTCACACGCACATGCACACAGAGACAGTCATTCCATCGCAAACGAAAAACATCTGGTGTGGGTACCAAACCTCAAGTCCTTGCAACCCTAAGCCTTAATGTATGAAGCCCCGAAATCCATAAAACCTCAAGCCCTTAAACCCAAGACAAACCCCAAACCCTAAACCCTAAACATCCCTAAACCCTAAACCGCATGCAAAAGGATCCACCGTGAAAGCTTCCCCGGGCTTCCCGGCGTCTCGCACTGGATGTTATCCAACGCCTGCATTTTCATCCTGACACTAGGAGTTAGGGTTTACTGTAAGGGCTTTCGGGTTGAGGGTTTAGGGTTTTTAAATTAAGGTTTAGGGCTTTTGAGGTTTAGGGATTAGGGTTGGGTTTTTTTATCCTGACGCTAGGAGTTACTTCA